CCCCCATACACTCACACTCACTCCTCACTGCTATTAAAGGCCCCGCCTAGGCCAGACTCGCGCCTTGTGGGCCACGCTACAAAGTTAGGTCAAAGTTGCCTCATGTTAACCTACCCTTCTGTGCACTCAAGTGGGTCTCTCGCTGACCTGTGCAAGGCAGCAGCATCCCCTGAAGAATTGGGAAGCAGCCCCAGCTGGAGCAGCCCCCTCCTACAGAGATGCACCACTTGGCACAAGCAGCCCCGCCTAGGCCAGACTCGCGCCTTGTGGGCCACGCTACAAAGTTAGGTCAAAGTTGCCTCATGTTAACCTACCCTTCTGTGCACTCAAGTGGGTCTCTCGCTGACCTGTGCAAGGCAGCAGCATCCCCTGAAGAATTGGGAAGCAGCCCCAGCTGGAGCAGCCCCCTCCTACAGAGATGCACCACTTGGCACAAGCAGGGGCAAGATCAAGGCTCAACTCCCTAGTGCTGTATCACAGCAAGGCACAGGGCAGGCAGAGAAGCCCTGCACACACCACACGTGTGCAAAGGATTCACAAACATGGTTTGGATAATAAAGCAGAGATCTGCAGGGTTCTTGTTGGGAGCAGCCCAAACTGCTCGGATACACTCAGTCTACATAAGACTCCCTACAGTGCATCATTGAAAAACAGTCTTGAAAAGTAACTTGGTTTATAATAAACATGGTTCTCTATATATGAAAATCTCTTGGTGCTTATTTCGCATTTGATGGTGTTGTTCATCTGTTTTACATGGCAATTGAGCACTATGAAGATGTCACTAACACGATTAATTTAATCAAAAAACAACTCAGTTTACATAGCAAGTGCCATGACAGATGATCACAGGTCCATTTTGAATTGTATTGTCTCCCACAGCGGCCAGTACCAGCTGCTTCAGAGACTGGTACAAGCAGCAATTGCTGAATAAAGCATCCATGGGGGGAGGGGGGGGAATCATCCTGCGCTCCCCTCCCCCCATTATAGGTTGGTTTATGACCTGAAACATGAGGTTTTACAAAGCAGTTAGTTCTATAATTGTCCTAAAGCAATTGAAGATCACATGATCCTGTTTTATTAAACATTTTATTGAATATTTTTTCATGTTGCATATTAAAAATTTAGCATATATGGGTTTTTAAAAACTTTTCTGGTAACAGTAGTTTTAGTATAAAGGTGTAGAAAAAAAGATACTTCATGTAAACAATAGGCCCTGTCTACATTGCCCCAGTGTAAACCTTTCATGTAGACATGTTGAACCACTGCAAGCCCTGGTTTGCATCAATACAGCAGTGGCATAGTATAGATATGCTTCAGTGCCTACATTGGGGCAAATTTTTCTAATAGAAGCTGACCTACACTATTGGTGAGTTGGACTGCAACACTTACTAGTATTCTTCTATACCAGTTTTTTTGTTTGTTTTAAATAGTAGTACTCCTGGATCCATTCTGTCTTCTGAACATGCTCACTGTGAAAAAGACTGTATTGGTAAATACATATTTTGCTTTAGTACCAACTACATGAAAAAAATACATGTCATAAGAGCTGACTGGCAAGGGGTAGTGAAAGCACTTCTTCAGATACACTGACTATAATTCCTGGAATTTGGTCCCACTGAAAGAAAAGACTTCTACATGAACTCCTTTACCAAGTTGTTTTGATCAAATTAAATGCCTGGCTAGCTATTGAAAAGGTAATTCACACTTCCCCAGGGCATCAATTCTGATTACAGAAGGCTGCATTCATCCTGCCCCTTCTATAGTTCTTTATCATACAAAACCCTACTAACTCAGGTGATAGTATTTTACATTCATTTTACAGTGATATAACTGAACACACAAGGTGAAAAACAGAATCTGACTCTAAATCTATATTGCTGTGTTTCATGATCAACTGAAGTCTACTTGAAATAACTGCATCAAGAGGCAGACTTACAACAAGCAACTGGGAGGTGCACTACTACAATTATGAGAAACAGCTTGTATGACAATTCATGCCATGGAGAAGGAATTCATGTTTAGTTGTGGCATTGAAAGACTAGAAGAATCTGACAAACAAAATTTCAGCATGGACCCATATACTCAAAAACAAAAATGCATTTTTTCCCCTTTTAAGAAATGCTCTCTTGGATAGCAAAGCCAAAAGCTACAATCCAACAGCATGAGAGCTAAAGGTAAAAGCTCATAATGAACAGAAGAGACTCTTAGGAATCTAGACTCCACAATGGATACTTTAAAGTAACCCAAATATCACTAACAAAGTAGAAAATAGGGGCTATACCAAATCATGTTTCCAGTTCTATTGCTTAGAATCCCCTCACCACATAAGTACAGTAGAAAGAAATTATTTTGTGGCTAACTAGATTGGAACTTAGATACATGTTCAATTCTCAGCTCTGCCAAACACTCCTTAAGTGACTCTGAGGGAGTTACCACACTTACAAACTGTCCACCCAGACTTGTTTACAAAACAATTAATTGCAGCAGAAACTTTAACGGTATTTTTGTACAGCATCTAGCACAAAGAAGGTCTTGATATCAGCTGGGCCTCCAGGAAGAAAAAGAATACATCAAAGTAAATTACACAACACAAATCTCAATTATAGTTTAAACACTTTCAAAACATACTTCATTTAAAACTAAAATTACAAGTATCCTGTCTTTAAGAGCCAAACATACACACCAACAGTCTCTCTTAGACATGTCCACAATAATCCTTACTATTACCACCACATCTCTTCTGCTAGCTCACTCCTACCTTCTTTCAGTTCAGTCCCAGGTGCTATATATAATCTTTTATTCTGATCCTTATTCACCTACTAGGGAAATCAACTGCCTGATGACAATAAGATTAATCACCATTAATTAAATAAGCACCTAATCTGTACTTATTTACAGAATTCAGAGGGTGATGAATGTTTGGTAAAGCTTCCCTGCCTGTCTGCATGTAGCTCCTTTTACTCCATCACACTGTTCCTTTCATATCTTTAGATTAGAAAACTCAGTATATCAACCTGTAAAGTTGGAAGGTGCCTAGATATTAGGGGTGAGCACCCATATAAAACCTGATATACTTATAAAGGATGAGAAATAGTCAATGCTGAATCAGCAAAAGCGACGAGGAGTCCTGTGGCACCTTATAGACCTCGCTGCTTTTGCAGATTCAGACTAACACGGCTACCCCTCTGAATGCTGAATCAGGGGCACAGTTATAGTCCAAACCTTTTGAAACAGCAAACCTAAAAACTGGGGTTTTTTTATACCAGTGGAATGCAACATCTTTTCCTAGACCAAGATGACTGTCAGATATTGGATTTTAAACTCTTTGCATTAATTTTATTTTTTAGTAATCATTTTGGATAATTTTAGAGATTTTTTAAAAATATTCTAGTTAATTAGTTAGTTTTTGCTCTCCCTCATAAAGCTATATTGCTGGATTCACAGTGCTAATTAAACCTAGCTGCGTATTTTAAAAATCCTGATAAATAGACAAATCATGGTCACTTAACTATATTAGAGACCTTGCATTACCTGCAGTGGCATAACCTGTATTAATAAAGTGAAAAGATCTGGGTCAAAATTTGCATCAGATCTGGATCAAAACACTCAAATATATTTTTTGTTCTTTGGAAAACAAATTTTTGCTCTTCTACAGCAACTTCCATCTGATATTTGTAAGGTACTTAGAGATTCACAATTATTTTAGCTTCACAACACACTTATCTATGGGATCTGATCCTTGTAGCACTTTACTCTCCTGTTTAAATAATTTGTCACTGTGATGTTGTACACACATATTTTATAGAAATATGTTTTGAATGTACATAAATGTGGCATGTAACCTGTCATTGAAAAGCTTGTAATCTGCTGAACATGTACATTCTATTTGTGTGCATGTATCATTTTCATATATGATATTAGAAATATGAAGTATAAACCCATTTTATATATAGATGTGCTGTGTTAGCACTACCCAAGCAATTTAATGGCTAGTGTTCACAGGGCAATCCCTACCAGTGCTGGTGCCCTACCCAGTCCAGCATTGGTAACACTTCCCCACCCCCCGGGAGGTGGGGGAGTAGTAGCTGCTCCACATTTAGGGTTGGGACCAAAGCTGTGGGGGAAAGAAGTTGCCAACTCTCCCAGGCCAGATGGACTATATGCCATTTACTGCAGTGACGTCCAGTCCAGGAGAGTTGGCAACCTGGTGCATGGCTGGCAGGGAGATGTGGACTGGAGGACTCAGGAGTAGCAGCAGGAAGTCAGCAGAGAGAAGGAGCACTTTTAAAGGGAAAGCTCCGCTTCTCTCCAGCCACCTGCTGCGGAGCTGCCCCCTGCTCCTTCTGAGTCCTCCTGCTTGCAAGGGCTGCTCACTGCCTCCTGATGAGCCAGGGCTGGGTGCTGAGCACTGAGCCCCAGGGCATGGGGGATGGGGCAAGAGGCTGCCAGACTGGAGCTTAACTGGGGTAGGAGGGCAGCTGGAGGATAGGGCAGGGGGCAGCCATACCAGTGCTGATCTGGGGGAGACTGGGGATGGGTCGGCCGAACGAGCAGTGAGGGGCTGGAGCTGGGTGCTGTTAGACTGGCACTAAGATGGGGGGTCAGGAGGATGGTAGATGAGGATGGGGGCCATCGGAGCCCATACACAGCACAAGGCTATGTAGAGCACCATGAAATTTGGGGCAATTTGGTACTCCACATTTTATGGTGCCCTATGCGACTATGTGTTTTGTATATGGGTAGGGGTGCTCCTCGGTGCTCAATGACCAGGAATAGTCTTGTTTTTCTGGTAAGCCTGAAATATGGTTGGTCCTACAAAGACATGTGACCAGAATCCATCTTGAATTTTGTACTTTTCCACAGGTGTGGGAGAAACTGAACAAAGCTCTAGCCTGAAAAGTCTTCACCTGAAATAAGAACTAGCGTGAAAAGTTATGATTTATAACAACTTCTTTTAGTGTACTAGGTTTAGGTGATGTGTTTTATTTTAGCTTAATAGTTTACTTTGATATGTCTGTTACTACTTGCAACCACTTAAATCCTACTTTTTATACTTAATAAAATCACTTTTAATTATTAATGAACCCAGTGTAAATAATTGTTACGGCACTGGGGAGGACAGCAGTTGTGCATAGGTCTACCTCACTGATAAAGGGGGAAGATAGATTTATCTGGAGTTTTGATCCCATAGGAACCGTACATCTGAGTGCTATGTCAAGTCTCTGTGACTGAGCCCTCCCTGAGCTGTACACAGGGTTTGTGTTGCTCTGCTGTAGGCTTTAACTCCAACGCCATGCCTTTGCTGGGGGAAACCAGAGGTTCTGGCTCTGCAGGACAAAGTGGTGGGGTACCCCAAAAAGCAGGTAGGAGGGCTCATTAGTATGATCAGCCCATCAAGTGACTGGTGTTAGTCTCTGTTAGAAAAAAAACTGTCCTCACAGTAAAAAAGTTTGGCCAGGCCACTCTTGCTATAGTGGGCTGCAGTACTCCTTGGGAGAAACCGGCCGCACCCTTCCTGCATACCATTGCCTTTAGAAAAAGGGAAGGTGTGAAATGGGGAAAATAGCCTCAGACTGTCCCACCCCTCACCTTGGCTTGAGAACTGCGGTGCGTACCTGGTCACATGTAACCTGCTCAGTTTCGGCCCAACCCCTGCAACACAGACCCCCCACTTGGTGAGCATTGGGCCATATATGGTAATATGCAAGTGCAGGAAAGCGATGTGCAGATTTGGGAATGAATACCCATCACACAGTTCGCTTGAGGAGGTCTTCACAACACACGTACCATCGTTCGTGTGCCTTCCCATATACATCCCGTATACTTCAACCGACCAGCCACCTCCCCCGACTCTCGGGCGTAACCAAGGCCTTCGCAACCGAACTGATATCTTTGAAATGTTCCGTGTGCTGTGTAAGTTGATATGTATGATTTGATTTTTTCTTGTTGTATATGCTTAGTGTTGTAGTTGTTTTGGGTAGTACATAGAGTTTGTAGTTATCACTGTTATTTAATTAGTGTAGCTGGATATTTTTAGAATAGAGACTATTCCCCTTGCCATTCCCATCCTTATATCTCTGACACGTTTAACTAGAAATCGTAGAATAAATATAATAAATACTGTAAATTCTTTATTAACACGGTCTATTAAAATCTTAGAATAAATACTATAAATTCATCATTGTTATAAATAAATATTTTTTATTTGCTAAAACGGTCCACCTGGTTCTGTCCTTCCTCCCTTGGGTATGCATCATCGGACCTGTGATTCTCATGAGAGTCTCAAAGGGATATCTGTGACTCAACCCATCACAGTCATCATTTCATTAAAGTAATTTTAAATAAAGGTACTAAGCTATAAAGGAAAACTGGTAAAGTGAGGAGCCAGTGCCAAAGTCTTTTCACATGCAACTTTCCATTGAAATTTATGATAGTAGTATAAGGGTCCTATCATCAATCAAACTGCAGGCCTTGCCCACCCACTGGTCCGGTTCCCTAGGGAATTAATTTTGGGGTCAAGATGGACACATGACCAGAAGCAAAGAGTGTCATGTAAACCCTCTAATAACTCTTCCCAGCACCCTCTACCAATCAGGATGGGTTTTGGCTTCACAGGACCACTCCGAGTGTAGGTTTGACCAAACCAGAGTCCTTCTGGGGCCTGGTGATCTGTCTTGGAAGTGGGTCATAATGAGCCTCTAAAAACTCCTCCCACTGGTTTCTACCAACTGTGATGAGTTTTGGCCACAGGGACCATCCTGAGAGTGGATTTGACTGAACAGGGTAGGTTTTGGGGTTGGGTGTCCCACCCTGAAAAGGGTCATGTGACCTCTCTAAGAGCTTCCCCAACCACCCCTTACCAATCAGAGCACAGCACCACTCCCAGAAACCCCAGCACCACATGGAAGAGGCCATCTTATCCCAAGAATGAGTGTTTCAGAAATCTTGGAAATCCTTTGAGGAAACAGGGACTCCTTCACCACCCCCTTGTGAACTTTGGACAGTTTTAGCCCTGAGCATTAAATCAGTGACTGTTCCAAGGAGGAACTGTTCTGAGGAGAACCCTTTGGCTCAGCTGTTGCTGGATATGTTGGGACCAACCCCGATACCCAAGTGCTCATGAGACAGCCCAATGAGCATGATGGCTTCTCATCCAACCCTATGGAAGAAGGTGTCCCCAATGAACAAAGTCACACAGATAAATGACTGATGAAGAAATGATGGAGTGTAATAGGGTTAGGAACCAAATCATGACTGTTTAAATCTAGCGTGGGAGCTCATGCTGCTTCCTTTCTGAAAATCTCTTGACAGCTCGATGATGCCTTTCTAAAGTCCTTTGAGAACCTACACATTGGTAGCTCTGTGGGAGTAAATCTGTCATGCATCAGCTGTTTTTGTTTGTGTCTGAGACACACATCTTGAGAGGAAAATCCAGAAAAGAACAAAATGGACGAATAAACTAGCTCAGGTTCTCTAATGGTTATCGTGTTCATTTTCACAGGCTGCTATAAAAGGATGTGTTAAACCAGGCAATTAATAACATTTGTTTAAATTTATCTGTCTGAATGCATCCCCTCCATACGTGTAATATCTTTTGCTAACACACTAACAGTCATGTCTATGTAGACGATTCTGTTAAAGAAAATTTCTTACACTCCCCAGAGAAGTTAGGAGCTTCAGCGAGGTAAACCCTCTGTTTCAAGCAGCCAAAAAGCATAATTATTTGAATAGAAGACAGGTAACAGCTTGGCTTTCAGATCAGGACTCTTACGCATTACACAAACCAGCTCAAATACATTTTAAAAGAAATAAAACCTTTTTTTTCAGATGTGGATGTGCAATGGCAGCAGATTTGATGGACATGTACTGGTTCTCCAAATACAACAGCAGTTTTAAGTACATCTTAACAGCGATAAACATTCTATCCAAATATGCCTGGGCCTGTAGACATAAAAAACAAGATGGGTGGTGAGGTATCCAAGGCCTTTAAGCTATTTTCAGAGAAGGTCTGAAAATTACAAATTGATTGGAGAAAAGAAATTTTAAACAAACTTTTAAGCACATTGTTAAAATGGTATGGCATTCACTATTTTGTTAGTAATAAACAGAGATTTAGCATTAAATAAAAATTTCACAAAACTTAATTCTACCATATTTCTCACCCATACCTATGCATCTATTTAACATATAAAAATCTAATAAAACAACAAACCAATAAACAAAATATATTTACTGGACTTTGTCCAACCATCAATTGTTGCTGCTAGTGAATTTTTCTTTTGAGCTTGTTTATTCTCTGGTCTATAGATTTCTCAAGTTTTGATTGTACTGTGGAGCAGACAACGTTATTATAAAACAATGAAATAGTCTCATAAGCTTAAAAATAAAATGCTCATTAGGATGTTTTTTCATTTAAAAAGTCATAGCTTTAAACAAAATAATCAATTTCAGGCTGTAAAAAATATACCAGTTTTGCTTTATTTTTAACACTCGTGTTTCTCCAAAACCCAATATTATATATTTTCAGAGTTAAATACAAGCCACATATCTCACATCACAGTCCAGCAGCAATTCAATTCAGGATCATTTCTACTGAAAGAGGATTGTCTCCAAAAACCTGAGTTTTTTATACCATCCTCTTTGTTTCAAACAAACTTTAAAGTCTGTATTTAACAGGTTAGCTAAATCATCACAACTCTGAATTAATAGATAATTTAAGGAATTTAGGCATCCTTCTCCAAACCTCCCTCTTCTGTGATTGGAGTTGGGAGTGGAGAAATTAAGTTGTCTGCACAACTGGGCTGCTTTAGGCTATTTTATTTTATTAGTTACAATACTTTTTTTCTGTTTAAATTAAAAAACAAAGCACTGAGGGCCTTCTAACAATATTAAACAATAATTCACCATACACAATCATCCTTAATGTTACAGCAACCTCTCTAGAGTGGGGGAGCCTTTGAAGATATCAATGTATATCTTGAGGGGTGGTAGGTTTTTTCATGCTTAAAGTTTTGGGTTGTTTTGAAATAAAATGGAAGTATCATAAGCATGTTTTCATAAAGGTCAGTATGATGTCTCTTGTTTGTTGCACCATAAAAGAACCAGATTTGTTAGGAATATTTATCAGGTTCTTTCTGATGCTGGAACAAGCCAGGGTTATCTCTGGGACTAATCCTTTTGTGAGTATTCTGATCAAATGCTTATGAATGTTTGTTACTGTTTGCGTCTAGTAACTGCTTATTCTTTAGGTTTTTAGACATGTTTATAGAACTCCATTGGACAGTTTCTATATAATCCCAGGAGTTGGTAGAACTCTATTAGGCAGTTTAAATAAACCCATAGGAGTTGGTTGAATACCATGGGTCACTGTAGTAATACAAACTCATTAAAAGTTTAAAAAATAATTACAAAAAATAAACAAAGGTATAGCCCAAAACTGAAATATTTCAAGGATTCACAATTCTCCACAATACTTTACATTTTCTGTAAAAACATTTAAAAGCCAGATGTGCTTTTGCGCAAGAGAGCATCCACACTGCATAGGTACTCTTGCACAAGAAAGCTTTGATGGCCATTCACAGAATGGCCAGCAGAACACCTGTGCTTTTTCCAATAGGGGTTTCTTGCATCAAAACACCTCTAGAGCACCCACACCTGCCTGTTTGTGCAAGAGCTGTAGTGCAAAAAGGAGTTATTCCTCATGGGGAGAGGAATAACTACCAGCAAAAGCCCTCTGTTCTGTCAATTTTCTTGCACAAAAACGTGCTTGAGGTGTGGATGCTCTGCCAGTTTTTGCGCAAAAACCTTATAGTGTAGACATAGCCTGAGTGGATGTTTTCAGAGCTATCCACAATGACTCCAAGATCTTTCTCTTGAGCAGTTGTAGCCAAATTAGTCCCCATCATACTGTATATACAGTTGGGATTATTTTTTCCAATGTACATTACTTTACATTTATCCACATTAAATTTCATTCGCCATTTTGTTGCCCAATCACTTAGTTTTGTGAGATCTTTTTGAAGCTCTTTACGATCTGCTTTGGTCTTAACTATCTTGAGAAGTTTGGTATAATCTGCATATTTTGCCACCTCACTGTTTATCCCTTTCTCTAGATCATTTATAAATAAGTTGAATAGGATGGGTCCCAGGACAGACCCTTGGGGGACCCCACTAGTTACCTCTCTCCACTAGGAAAACTTACCATTTATTCCTACGCCTTGTTTCCTGTCTTTTAACCAGTTATCAATCCAAGAAAGGACCTTCCCTCTTATCCCATGACTATTTACTTTACTTAAGAGCCTTTGGGGAGAGACCTTGTCGAAGGCTTTCTAGAAATCTAAGTAGACTGTATCCACTGGATCCTCCTTGTCCACGTTTGTTGACCCCCCTCAAAGAACTGTAGTAGAGTAGTATGGCATAGTTTCCCTTTACAGAAACCATGTTGGCTTTCCCCCAACAAATTATGTTCATCTGTGTGTCTGACAATTTTATTCTTTATGATAGTTAGAAACGGTCTGCCCCTAATTTGCAATGCAATTGGTTCTGGAGCTCGCGTCGCAAGTCGGGGCCGTCGTAACTCGAGTCTGCATTTCTGACAGACATGGTACCCACTGTAAATGCGGGGACAGGGATGTAAGTCGGGGGGGGGAGCACTTATGGAAAAGGCCGTAAGTGCGGGGGCTCGGAACTCAGGCCGTCACAAAGCGGGGGCCTCTTCTAGTTGAACCCATCTCAACCCCTTTAGAATGAACACGCGCTCCGCAGCCCCGGTGCTTTCTGGAGCTTGAACCAGGTGGGTCCCTCTCTTCTGGACTGTCTCGAACGCGCCCAAGCCCAGCGGCGGGCGGGAAGTAACATGGGGGGGATCGCTCCCTGCTCGCCACCCTCAGACAGGACCCGCCGTCCCTGCGCCGCCAGCCACAATGGGCGGGGTCAGGAGCTGTAGCCCCGCCTCGCAGCGGTTGAGCCCC